ATGGGGAGACTCTGTGTAAGTTAAAAATAACAAAACCATCTTTCATCCCCTCTTGGTGCATGAAGTCTAGTCTCCAATTGGACATGAAACTGGTCTAGTGGTCTCAGCCCAGACTGGGAAACGATCCCAACTATCGCTTCACTTGATAGATGGCACTCCCTAATGCACCAGCTCTCTTTCACGTGTATGATTAGGGTTGTCCAGGAGCAGAAATCCGGTTAGCCAAGGTGGGGTCAGAGGAACACCAGAGAGGACCCTTTAGCTTTATCGCTCTGTAAGTTTTAGAACTTCATGTAAACACTTAAGCCGTGAGCTTTGCTAGAAACTCGCTGTGCCTCCCAGCTGCTTTGAGGTATTCGTGCTTCTCTGCAGCTGAGTTGGGCAGGTTGCCTGGTAAAGCTGTTCAGTTTATGTGAGTTACTGCTTACAAAGGCAGTCGTGCAGTTTCTGGCTGTAATTTGCATTGAGAAATTACTTTGCCACCAAAGCCCCAGCACAGGAATTTTAACCTTGCATTACATTATTGCTGTTTTTTATTGACTTGTGGATGCCCCGTGATCTGTTCTCCTGCTGCTCTTGTTCCCCTAGACTGCCTCTCCTTTCACTTTTAAATGGAATGAGAAATTGTTCTGAGGTCTATAACGTATTGTTTTGCAGCTGCCTTTTGTAAGAAGCACTTTTCCCAAATAAAAAAAGTAAAAAAAAATTAAACAAGAAGTCAGTCTGTTCTTTTATATTTAAAGCTTCTGGTTTTTAACTTGATTATTTTTGTGTGTGTTTCTGTAAATACAAAGGAATTTATGTCACTTATTCTTAACTCCTGCAGGACTGTGTCATGCTTAAGACAGAATTCTAGCATTGTTCCTTTCCAGGAAGGAGTCTGTAATGCAAGGGACACATTCCAGAYAGACAGTTGAGAGAGCTGATGTATTGAAGGAGTGTCCAGGGCCATTAGTAAGGACAGACGTATCTTGCTTTCTCAGAAGTAAGTTCTACACTATKGCATTTTTTTTTTTGCACTGAACAAAGTCATTTGCAGGACATATTCTTGTCCATAGTTTCATGTCTTAATGCTGTTTGGACAGAAGTCCAAGCACTGCTCCCGCCACTTCCTGAGATTTCACTTGTTTCTTGAAGCCTGTGTGTGTTCAGAAAGAAGCATTTTGCACAGTTGGAAGTAAACTACTAGAAACATTTTTGGATGCTGAAGGATATGACTAAGGAAAGTTTTAAATGAACAGAAAAAGCCATCTTTGGTTTGCTCGSTTGTTTTTTCCCAAGGGCAGGTAGCAGAGGGAAGAATGTAATTTGAGGAAATGACACTTTAAACTGWTAAGAGGGAGAAACAGAAAAAAATTTAAGCCTTCCTGCCCTACAGGGTGAACGTAAGTTTTTACATCTTATAGGAAAGCTTCATTCAAATGTGAGTTTGTAAGAAAGCTGTTTTCTGATAAGATGGAAAAAGGTAATGAACTTACCAGCCAAAGCACACACATGAGCTTGCTTTCCTGAGTGGTCAGGAGTGGTGTGCTTTATTCTCTGCCTGGGTGTCCATGGCACAGCAGTGGTGGCTGCTGCTTCTAAAGCTTCTTCCTGCAGTGTCACAGAGGAGGCTGAGCACGCCCAGATAAATGATTTGCTTTGGTGGAGGTGGTGGGTGGGGCTGCACGGCTGCWGCTGTGTTCCCGGGCATCATGACTAGCACTTCCTCTTGCTTTGAATTGTGCTGTGGTTCCTGTGGAGCAGCTTCAGGAACTGCCTGTGTTTGTCCCCAGGCAGTACTGCTGGGTGCCACTTCCCGTCTGAACTGTGCTGTGTGAGGYTTGTTTCTAACAGGCTGGAGCATTGTGATTCCCACCCCCACCAGCCCCAGAGTAAGAGAACTTAAAATAGTAGCGCCTCTAAAAAAAGTGCATTAGTAGGCCACTATGTTTTTCCTCTGTAAGAACAGGAATAAATTCAGTAGAATTAAGACAATGAAAGAAGATGGAGGGTGACAACTTAGCCTGTGCAACATTCTCTTTAAGGAAATACTTCAGGTACAGAAACTGAAGAGGYCAATCAGAGTAGTGTCAAGGTATAAACTCTCCAAAAACTTACACCAGCAAAAGCTTAAGTCAAAAATCTTTAGAAAAAGATGGATGCTGTCACTTGGGTGCCTTGACTTTGTTTCTTAGGCCAGAATATATACATTTGGTTTGATACAGATCTTTGCTTCTTGTGGGAAGTGCAGAGTAAGTGTGCTGCCTGTTCTCTGTGATCTGAATGGGATCATACAAGGTAACAGCACCTGTTACAATTTCTGCATGTTCAAATGGGGTAGTACAGCTGGCCTTTGTGGCCCAAGGTGGATTGTGATCTGTGAGGAAATACCTGACTCATTTAATGAAATGCAAAATAACTTTCCTGCTACTGCAAGTACAGAGGAGATTTCTATTTGGAGGGTACTATGAACTATGGGGTGTCATGTTTGGAATAAAACCTGTGTAGATGAAATTATTAATTCTGCAGCAGCTTAAAATGGGGGAAATCCACATGTAATCCCTTGGGATTGAGATACAATACAGGACTCTGCTGCAGGGATCAAGTAGCTACAAAGTCTAATGCTAGCATTGTAAAGGAATTATTAAACTGTAGTTGTGATGAGCCTCACTTCAGATTAGCAAAACTAGACTTAGGAGTGAAAATTGCATAAGCAGTGATGTTCACAGACAGCAATAGCAAGGAAATGCAGGATTGCAAATAAGCTGAACTCCTGCCCTGTTGTCCATGGGGGTGCTGTTTGTCACTTGCTGTCAAGCCACTGTCAACCCCTTCTTGACAACAGCTTGATGTGACTGCATTGACAGAAACTGTGTGGCTGAGTGAAGGTTGATTTTAGAATAATAGCATTAGAAAGTGATTTGAAAGATTTTTGGAAGTCCTACCCATCTGAAACTGAATTCCTAATACAAGGAGAAGTACCTGTAGGAAAAAAAGGAGCTCTTGGCCTGTCTAAAACTATTCTCGGAGAACTGTGATATCCCAGCATTGCCTGTTGCAGTTCCAGTTCTTAACACAGTGCTTAAGAGTGGTGCTTGAAAATTATTTCAGGAGCCAGTATGTTGAGCAATGACTGTTTAAGGCCCCTCACACACAGCTGCTGGCAAATGTCGCATTCTGGGAGCTCAGAGCCAGGAAAATCTGCCTGTTGGCAGTCCACATCGGGACAGGGCAGTGTGACAAGGCTGCTCTTAGGGCACTCACCTGTCTGGAAGCTTCACTTCCAGTTCCTTGTCTAAAAGCACACACATGACCTCTATCCTGAAAGAAAGCTCCAGGATAGAGCTCTCCACCTCTCTTCAGGTTTGGGTATTGTAATCCTTCCAACTAAAACATTAACTGGAATGGTTAGATAAGAACCTCAGCTTTTGTAATTAAGAACCTGTCTTCTGCATGTGAACCAGACCTTTACCACACAGGCAGTGCTATGTGCCTTCCACATCACTGGGCTGCTGTTAGGTTGGTTTTTAAACTAGTCTGCTTCTGGGAGTGTAAGTTTGCTACATTTTAAAATACTTCTAGTTTGTCTTATTACCCTGTTCCACCAATAAGTACTGCTTCATCTCATGTGGCCAGCCTGTGACACCAGTGCCACAGCTAAGATTCAAATACTTCTTCCCAGTAGATAAAATTTAACTGAAAAGCTCATCATCAGGCTGAATGTGCAGCTCTTAAAACAGAAGCCTTTGGGACAGTAGTAGTTTTTAAAGTCGTGTGGTAAACAACCTTATAACCCTTCATACAAATGCATTAATGATGCTGTCAGGAAGCACTTCGAATTTGAATATGATGCTGAGGAACAGGCCATTAATAGAAGGTTCCATAGCAGTTAATTCTACCTTGCCTTGTCACAGCTGTGTGTTTCCATCTGCTCTCTGATGGGGAAATGCARAACCACAGAGATTATGCTGAGTTTGTATTTTAATCTAGTGGGTCTCACAGTCTGGAATAACAGGCTGTACTAAGGGGATTTTTTAAAGTTTATAGCTTCATATATTACCTCATAAGTAACAGTGTTACCAATATACTCTGAAGAACCTTGTTAGCAASTGCTGCTCTTCACTCAAGCGAGGACAGCTTGAAAAGTGACTCTGTGGAAACCACTCATTGTTAMTGCCCAAAGGCCTCAGGGAAAGGGCCAAACAGAACCAACCAAAAGAGGTCACGCTCCTGGTTTAGCTACACAAGACCAGTTTCTTGGAAAAGTAGCAGGCAGCCTGTTAGACCTGTTAAAGGAATGGGAACAGTCACAAGCCTGTTCTCCCTGATCCCGTGTTGCACAGCTTTCTGCCAAGGAAGGCCGTGCTTTGCCAGTGGCTCCACGTGTGTGGGAAGAGAATGGCAGGAGTTCTGTAACCTGGCAGTGCTGGGCACGGGGGGAGGATCACGTCAGCCTGCAGAAATCTCCTTACTGAGGGTAAGCAAAGTAACTTCATACAGCAGTGGCTAATTAAGRTGGTAAACCCAAGGAACTGTGCAAAGTTAACACTCTGCTGGTACCATCCTTCCTCTAATTCTTGACAATGAAAGACTGTAACTGGAGATWAAAGCAATACTTTTTCTATTGCAGTCTCCTGGAAAATACTACAAAAACAAAGTAAAAATGATGGATTGCAAACCACTACGAGGAATAGAATATTAAGCTTATGTTTGACTGCTTTTGTAGTGACAAGAGCTGTGGAAACTACTTGTTTGGAAGCTGGCTTTGAAAGGTTATGGTATTTACTGTTGCCTAAATATACAAATTGAAATGCAACTACGAGGCTAGTACAAACGAAGATGGAATAAAGATTTAAAAAGTAAACATGAGAAGGAAGATCCCTGAAGTTTCTCTACAGCAGGCTATAGCAAGAGGTTAGCATGGAAGAKTTCTCCCTCAGCTTACACAGAGCTGTATTAACCACTGCTCTTTGCATGTAATAGCAAAGAACCTAGCTAGAGAAAGCATTAAGAATATCAGAAATATTTCCAAGACTATTATTCAATGATTCATTCTTTATTTTTTTGTGCTTCTCAGACAACATTTTCCAGCAATACTTGCTATATGTTTTTCCCTATTTTTCAAGGACTTAGGAAACAGGGACAGCGAGCCATTGGGTAAGCTGGCAACACCCCAGCATTCCCAGGGCTGCTTTGCATGTAACACAAACTGTGCTTTATCRTTACAGAGTTTGAGTTGCAGTTCTTAGCTTAACAGTAACTACGTGATACACTTTGGTACATGTAGACTGCAGTCAAAAAAACCCTTCATCTGGTATTTCTTTTCTCCTTCCCTGTTTCCATCTACTGGGAAACAAAACTTGCAAACAAAACAACCAAARAAAATCCCTCAAAACCCTCACCATAAAAACCCCTCAGCGCAAACCCTCATTTAGTTCAGGTACACAGATGATGTGAGCCCTGAGTAGCACAGCTTGCAATTGGGAGGAGCAATCCAAAACCTTCCATTGCTACCACAGTGTTCAGTCTCCACAGCAGTGACATATACTCACCTAAGGCAGCTTTCTGGTGCACCCCATACCAGAAATTACTACTCTAACACAATTTAAATATTTAATTTTTTACCTAATTTAAATCATCTTAGCCCTTGCTGAGTTTTGCAGGAGCTTGCATCAATCCTTCACACYCCCTTGAAAATCTACAGACATACTCTCAAGCTGCCATTAGCCCATCACACAAGCTACAGAAGGCTTTTGGTTAAAATCAGCACATAAAAAGCAAGATGAGGCTAGCAGGGAGGAATGAAAAAAAGAGTCCTTTCACTGGAAGCTCTGCTGCTCCCAGCAAGTCTATGTAACAAGATGGAGATGAAAACTGGAAAGAATTCTGACCATTACAGAGCAAAGTGAAAGGCAACTTTCCTCATCCCAGGAAGAAATGTATCATATTGTGCCTGCTACAAAACCCTAGAGGTGTCTCCAGGTTTGTCTGGTGAGGAACTCAGTACAGATGTGAAATCCTGTACTCTTGCACAAAYGTTATTAAGCTCCTGGGATGGGTGGCTGCATGCCTGATGTCAGGACAGCTCCTAAATTAAAGTTGAGGCAGCACTGGGTTAGTGCTGTCCAAGCATGTGTCAGACTTTTTACAGCTACTGGCAGAGAGGAAAGTGCTTGGAGTTAAAACCCAACACAGCTTAGAAGGGTCAATGCAGAGCTCTGCTGCCAATTTATCACCTGACACAGCCAGAAAGACATGTAAGGATATAATTAAAGGCAATAATTTTTATAGTTCTCTTTGGTTAAGGCAAGGGCTGGCAGCTTCCTGAGTCCTCTCATCTCACAAGTTCACGTTGCTATGTTCAAAGCAACCTGTGCTACCAACAGCAATAATGAGCTCTGAAAATACTCACAAGCCAAACTGCAAGGTAGAACTATCAAGAGAGATGGCTTGGGACCACATAGAACGCTTTCATCAACTAAATAAAAYTGAATCAAAGAGCTTCAGAAGAATGACAGTTTCCAAGTTCTCCCTGAAGCCTCTGTTCAACAGGAGCACTGGGTCTTCTCCACAGTTGGACTGGCAATCACTGGCCTGGAATCAAGACTGAAGCTGTTTGGAGGGTTCTCCCCATGAAGCTGTAAGGTATTTCGGGCTATGAGCTCCTTAGCCATTAATGTGAACACCTCTTCTATGTTTTGAGCTTCTTTTGCTGATGTTTCCAGCACAGCCAAGAGCCCGTGCTTCTCTGCCAGAGTGCAGGCRTCTTCAAACAGCACTTGGCGCTTGTCCAGCGAGTCTGATTTGTTCCCTTAAAAGAAGGCAAAGAGATACTTCAATCRCTTGGCCTCTCAAAAATTAATCTTTAAATGCAATGCATGAATTCAGTTTTGTTAAACAATAGATTTATGATAGGAGTAAGAGTTACTGGAAAGAACAAGATGTGAGTACATCGGAGCCACACAGAAAGAGCGGAGATTAAAACTGCAGCTAATTATGAGAATGGGTGAGTTGAAATCCAAGAAAAAACTAAAAACCTGTGTTTCACCTAACTACTTAGTGTAGGTAGTGAGCCTAAAGGATTATTTGCAAGCAACTGTTGGTCCTATTCCCTAGTGTTTTTAAACATTAAGTAGCATTGAAGTTAAACATTAAATAAAAAAACTTTAAAGATGATGGTAAAAAATAGACAATTCACACCAGCTACCTTGCTGCCTAAAATATATACTTAAGTTGTTTCTGCATGTATAGATGAAACTTTTACTTGCAGCTTTTGTAACCTTCTAGTAAGTTTAAATTACTTTATTCAAAACCTATCAGAAGTCATGAAACACTTCAGATAAAATACCTTTTTATAATTGGCCAGTTACAGCACGTGTGGATTTATCAGTTCTAGTACATGCAGTACCTGGCTGAAGTCTACATTCATAGTTTCAGGACAACCCTTCATCAAATTCATATCTTGAATTTGAAGCATATATAAGCCAACTACCCTCCCATTAAGTCCTTTTCARTTTATCTAAAAGAAAAAGACCAAGAACTCCCAAACCAAACAAAACCAACCTACTCCACAAAAGAAAAAAAAAACCAAATAAAACAGCCAAAAAATCCCCAGTTTCAGGGTTATTTGCCTTCTTAAAAAGAATCCACCCACTTTTTTACCTCCTTCAGTTTCAGATGGGAAAGTTAGGTTTCTTAAACTTAACCTCATGTTAGAAAGATGTATAACATGACTAAGYGTAATTAAATGTACAGACTTCTGCCAAAGTAAGCAAAGCAAACAGCACCAGCTTTAGAAGAAAGCACCAAGCTGGATACTTAACARAAGCTTTATTTTTACTCATTTCAGAACTTATCTCTTAAAAAAACCAACAACCACCACCAGCCCCCGCCACACACAGATAAGCCTCATTCTTTAGAAGTTAGAGAAGCCCGGCCAAAGTGTAGTGATTTACACCTGCCCTGATCCCAACACCAAGCACTGCATTAGATGCAGGTCAGAATTTCCCGTTTGCTTCTTCCCCTCGGTAAAGCAGGGAAGGTGCTGGGGGCAGAGGCAGCAGCTCAGGGGCCCAGCCTGGGGCTCAGCGCTGCTCTCAGCACCCTGCAAAGGGCTCAGCCACGGCAATGTAAATAAAGGCACCAGCGCTCTCATGGGCAGCTTCTTCCTTGGGGGAAGGAAATGCAATAACAACACGAAACCCAAGGGAAAGGAACCACACTGCTTCCTACCAGCTCCATTCCCAGCATTTCCCAGCCAGTGCTTGTCTCAAAAAGCAGTTTCCTGAGTGCTAGAGGAATGCAAGCAGACTACTCCACGCTCTGCAAAAGCCATTTCCCCGTCTATTGTCTTACCTGATCGGAATCCCATTACAGAGCAATGCGCATGCATAGCAAGAGAACAGAGAGGAAAGATGAGAACCAGGAGTTGTGTTGCTCTGTGYATTCCCCTTCATCTTGAATTATTGAGCTGCTGCATTCCTGTGCACCAGGAGTACAGGGTCAGGCTCACTGCAATTCGAACCTCAGCAAGGCGGCCCTGCCTCCAGCCTGGCAGCAAAGCTTGCTGTGATATTCCAAAGGAACAACTAAAAAAGGTTTTGTTGTCTGCAGTGGGTTTGGTCCTATCAGGACCAGGCTGTCTTTCCTCATTTTTTTAAGCTTAGGCTAAATTGATACACTTTACGTGATCTCTTTTAATTGGAACTGAATTCTTCCTTAATGCATAGTTTATAGATGCTTCAAGTAGTGATGGGAAATGAAGGAGATTTTATGTTCATATAAAAAAGCTATGTAACACAATATTTAAAACTAAAATCCTACCAATCAACATCATGACCAAGTTTGCAGCACCATACTTTTCAATTTCATGAATCCAATGAGGAATGGATTCAAATGTGGACCTCCTAGTAAGGTCATAGGCAAGGATGGCCCCATGGGCACTCCTGTAATAAGACTGGGTTATTGTCCGGAATCGTTCTTGACCAGCTGTGTCCCACACTTGGATCTGTAAGAGAAAGGACAGAAGTTGTGAAGACCAGTAAATACCACTTTCCAAGGTGCTTGCCATCAGCATTTGAAACCCTTGGTCTGGAAGGCAGCCAGACCTGTCCCAGCTGACTCTATTATCACCAGTGTGGCTTTGCCCTCTCTAGATCTGAAAAGCCAATCTGTAAAGTCAATCTACACAGACCAGAGAGAAAGCTGCAAGGGTAAATCCAGCTTTGCAGAGGCCAAGAACAGTTTCAACAACTGTAGTAAATTAAATAGAGCATTTCAGCATTTTAACAGCAAAGGAACAAGAGCAAAAAAGCCCTGATACAGGACTGGGCAGAGCAAATCTATCTCAAACAGGCRTCCAAACTTTCATCTACACACAGGAAACTTCTAGCTCACAATTTCTTCTGGTGCTTGTCTTGGAAGTCTTCTTCCCTCAAATTAGGCACRCATCAAAGGGGAGCCTTTGCAAACTCAGGGGGTTTCCCCACCTTGGTGTCCCAGCTCAAACTCCCACATCTCTGGAGGGAAAAGACATCCCCTCCAAACTAGAGCCGCGTTCCAAAGAACGCCCTGCAGGCACATCACAAGCCCTCTCCTGACGCAGATGCAGAGAAGCCACGAGAGCAAGCATGTACCCAAATTAGGGTGCCTGCTTCCCCCAGGGCACSTTCCTGAGAGAACGCTCCACTGGGAAACACCCCGGTTCGAAAGGCAGGGAACTCTTGCTAGCTGCCTTCAGCAGGAACGAGCAGTGAATGCCTCCACTCCCCGGCACCTGCACGGGAAGGACGGCACCGCTGCTCGCCGGGCGGCTCGGGCTCGCTCCCGCCACCGACCTTGACTTTCTTGCCGTCGATGTCCATCGAACGCACGGTGAAATCGACGCCGATGGTGTTCTGCTGCTTCTCGTTGTACTGCCCCGTCTTGAAGCGGTGCACCACGCACGTCTTGCCCACGTTGGAGTCGCCGATCAGGATGATCTTGAAGAGGTAGTCGAAGGCATCGTCCGCGCCGGAGCCGGGGAACGGCATCGCGGCTGTCGGGCGGGCCTGCGARGAGCAGGAGGCGGAGGAGGAGCCGCGGGCCCGAGGAAGGAGCTCGGTTGCCGGCGCTCACCTGCCGGCGCTGCCCTGCCGGGACAGGTATCACCTTCGCACCGCCCCGGCCCAGGGCCCGGCGGGAGCTGTAGTCCGCCCCCTCCCTCCCTCCCTTCCTCTGCTCGCCGCCCCGCCCCGGGCTCGGCCGGGCCGCGGAGCCAGCGCCGCTCAGCCCCCGCCCCGCACAGGGGGTGGGTGTGCAGGGACTACAGCTCCCGCCGCTCCGCGGGACCGCCCGGAAGAGCCGCCCTCGCCGCCGACTTCCTCCGGCCGCGCTGGGCGGCGGGCACGGTACGCGGGGCCGGGGCTGCCCGGGGGTGCGGGCGGTGGCTGCGGRGCTGGGCCGCGGCGGTGCCGGAGCCGGAGCCGGGGTGTGCCCTGCCCTGCCTGCCCTGCCCTGTGCTGCCCGCTCGGCCCCGCTCCGCTCCGCCGCGCCGAGGATGTGGCCCCAGCGCCGTGAGGGAGCCGCGTCCTCCCCTCGCCCCCTCCGCGGGCCGGGCCGGGCACGGAGCGGTGGGACCGGGCCGGGYTRGGCCGGGCGGGRYCGGGGGCCGTACYCGGGGTGGGAGCGGGGCCCGGGCGGCCTCGGCCGCTCCGATGGTGCTCAAAGCTCGCCGGTGCTCGGGCAGCCCTTCCTTCTCGGGCTGAGCATCCGCGGGGGCRGGCGGCTGCGTGTGCTGGCTGCGGAGGGCCCGCGGTGGGTTTGGGGCTGTTCTTCTGTCTGCTTGCAAAAATGATACAAGAACGTGGAGTCTTGTTACTTTGAACTGTTTTTGTTGTTTGTTTTTTCTTATTATTATTATTTATTTTTTTTTAAATTTATTATGATTTTGAAGGAAAAATCCCTTCGTTTGCTTTGCACTTTGGAAGGTCCAGGAATGTTAACGCTGGTCCCTCCTGCCGGCTTTGAAGGACAGCACGGTAGCGTTAAGGAAGTTTATTTTCAACTTAAGTAAGGTTATTTTGAGTTTAAGTGAAGGGATAAGGGCAGAACACTAAGGAGGTCTTAGCGAACAAGTGAAAAGCTTAACAAAAGMTTACTCAAAATACCGGCTGGCTGAAGGCAAAATACCGCTGAAGGTAAATGTGCTAAATAGTTAGACAGGGAAGTCTAATGCTCTAAAAGCCCTCCTCTTCCTTTCTAAAAAGCAGGTGCTTCATTGTCTTGATTTCTGTGGTCATCCTGCTGCTGACCAGAGTTACTATGGTGTTCTCACAATAATTAGAAGACTAATTTTAARGAATAAACTCCTGGTTGCACATTTTTCTAGCCTGGGGAGAATGCCAGTTTTGGATATAAGAAAGGCAGGATGAAGAAAGAGGGGAAAACAAAATCTGTCGTGGTTATCTCTACACTGTGAAAGTGTCCTGTGCCAGAAAGTCTTCTAGAAAGCTGGCTGAGATTGGGCAGCTCTGAGGAGCAGATTGTTTCAATAGTAAATGCTTTWAGAAAAAGACAGGTGACTTTAAGGTCAAGCCAAGTCTTAGCTTTAAAAAGAACTCAGTATCTTGGACAAATAAGATCTGTGTTTGCGTACATTGACATGAAACAAGTAGCAAATCTCGTAAAGCTTTTGGGCTGCAAACAGATTACCCGAGGAAGGAACTTTTCCCCACARTGTTACACAACTGCCAGTGTTCTGCTTTTCTCTGTTATCTGCCTGGTGGGAGGGGAGGGAGAGGCAAGGAAGCTCTTGTGTTTGACCAGCAGTCTGTGTGGTTTGAGGATCATGGAGCTGGGCAATTGGAGTGCCTTGGCTTCCCTTCTCCATGCAGCTTGTGTGGGGAACATCCCTGAGCAGTGCTACTGCTGCCTGAAAGGGAGCAGCGCTGTGTGATGCTTGTGTGGGTGCTGAGTCTTCACTCAGTGATGCTCAGAAATSGTCTGGGGCCTCAGGTGAAGGCATTATCAAGACTGCTTGCACAGTTGCCTCTTCCACGGCTATGTCTTGCCATTCCACAGCTCCAGCTGTAGGCACTTTTTTTCCCTCTGTGTGAGCCCAAGCAGTCTAGACAGACATTCCTACACTGAGGTGCTGCGTGCCAGCTGGAGCAGTGGCAGCGTGGCTCAAGAGCAGCTGGGCTGTGCAGAGGCAGATGTGTCAGGTCCCACTGTGTTTGTCTTGGATGAAAATGGAGGTGTTCAGGTGTGGTGTAGGACAAACGTGACTCCAGTGTTTCAGAGATGTCATAGCTGGATCCTCAGAGTGTTACTCAGAGCATCTCTGTGCCACACTCCCATTTGGAGGTGAGTTGTGATTTCATTTTCCATGGTGGTTCATGGATCCAGCTGGATCTTGCTGTCAGTCAGGCATGTGTCATCACTGAAAGAACAGGCAAAGAGCACTGCCTGCARTGAAAGGTGTCTTGATGAAATCTTTAAAAAGTTACTAGAAGGAAGAACAGAAAGTGTCTGTGATATGGAGGGTTTTCAACAGCAGAAATTTGGATGAGATGACTTCTACTTTCTCCAAGTGAGGTTATGAAATTGAACTTGAAAAGTCTTCTGTCAGATATGCAAATAATTACAAACAGTGCCTATGGATACAAAAGAACACAAAGGCATTATCTTCTGTCTTATTTCACTGCTGATCCTTTGGGGGAGCAGGGCTGGTGCTTTATTTTACCTTTCCTCAGCATTCGGATATGTTTGTGGTGTTGGCATGTCTTCTGAAATATGTGGAGAGATTCACCCCCTCATTGCCCAGTGGGACTGTTTCTCAATTTGTTGATAGAGATGGTCCTTCACCATGCCAGCACAGCTGGGGGAGTGGGGTRGTGTGATGTGGAGCAGGATAAGGGAACTCTGTGTCTATCATGGCCTTCACTGAGTGCTGACAGTTTCTGGTTATTTCAGAGTTGAAGCAGATGTCACCTGTGCCCTACAGGTAGGGACAGGAAAGTATGACTTGTGTGCTGTAGAAATGAGTTAGTGAGAGATGGAGCTGCAATGTCAGGCTTGAGAGTAAATAGGCAAGGATTCCAGCTGTTGGATTTCAGCACTGTCCTCACAGTCACTTCCCTTTTTCCATCCATGCAAGTCCACTCTTGGGTAAATTCTTTCAAGAGCATCTTAATGAGGCAGTTGGATCCCAAACCCTTCTCCACCCACAGCCAAATGCCTCTCTTGTGGCTCCATGTCCTGTCTGTGCCCAGCCAGGTAGCAGTGGAGAGCTCTTCTTTGTGGCCACTCTGTAAATGATGTAGAATGGTCTTTACTGGGAGAATGCTGGAAATTGGTTGATCCAGGGGGTATTCCTTTGGTCCTGGGTATTGAAGAGGCCATCTGCTAGGAGAAAAACAAAAAAAGAAGTTCCATGAGGGTATTGGGAGAATGGGAATAACAGGACACCTTATAAGAAATAGAAGTTATTGAGGAATGTACAACTGATGGGATGGGTGGTGGTTAAAACAAGCTGGAAAGGCATGGCATAGAGTTCTTCTGAATTCCAGCTGTCTGGGGAACAGAGCTGTGCTTTATACATGTGTTTTAGTTCAAATATGTTTTGTTTTCTCCTCCCTTCCCACCTTCTTCTGTTTAAGTGAGAAGAAAGATGACCTAATGACCATCTTGCCCTTGTGGCCAAGGCAGGAGCAGGGGTAGGGCTGCCAGGAGCATGGCTGTGCCTGGAACCTTACGGAGGCAGCCTTCCAACAGAGGCCTTGTGTCCCACTGCACCCACCATCATATTGTCGTGTTCCTGCTCACCTTCTTCAGGTAGGTTCAGTGCATCTCTGCTCAGAGATCTGTAATTCCACCCTTTTCCCCCTTGATCTCCAGAGGAGACTCAGCCAACCTGTGTCTGTGTGTTTTCTGGCAGTTATTCCCTGCTCCATGCTTCCAGAAAGACATTCAGTAATGTCAAAGTCAGCATTTCCAGCCAGTGGACACCCTCCTGCCAAAACAGCACGGCCCCCGAGCTCCGGCCATATGAGGTAAGGACACAAGGGAGAAGGAAATGCAGGGAAAGGTGGGCAGCTTTTAGGGACTGAGCTTGTGGTGCTGAGGAAGCCCCTCTAAGTGTTTGTCACTTCTCTGAGTGTGAGCAGGAACTCCAAGTGTTGATATTGTAGTTTTATGCATCCCCAGGTGATGCTGAAATCTTTCCTCGTGGTCCTCGGGGAGAAACTTCTCAAGAAGCTCAGTGTTCCAGTGGAAATGGGGGCCCCAGCAGAGTCTGCAATAACCAGCAGCATGGAGGAGGGGGAAACAGGGACTGATCCTCTGAAGTGCAGGAGGCAATAAACCAAAGCAGTTAACAGKCTTACAGAGAGTTCTGTGAAATCCTGGCTGTGCTTTCTCTGTGGCAGTGATGCTGCTGCCACCCTCTTGWAAAGACAGCCAAATTAGGAGAGAAGAAAGCTGTCTGAGAGGGCTAGCTGCTTATCCTAAATTAATGGTGAAGAATGACATTTTATCTTGCATCTAAAAGGTCTGATTTCCATGCTGAACATCCCGTACCCCTTGTCTATAAAATCCTGGCTTCAGTGAAAGCAGTGGGAGTTTTGGCAATGCTTGCTTGCAGGAAAGGAAGTTTTTAAACTGCTTGATTCTCACAAATGGGAAGGCAAGAACTACCTCCTACCATGGGGTTTTTAGGGCCACRCTTGTTTTTTTGTAATGCTTTGTCCCAGTGCTTTTGAGAAGTGGAAGAAATCAAACATTAACAGCTTGGTCACACAGGCCATGAGATCTGTTAGAGCAGGGAGTTCCAATCAGCTGTTTGAGCGTTGCCTGCATTAGAAATCAACAGTTATTTGAATGTTTGACAGAAGGAACAGAAGGATGATAAATGCTGACCTTTTGTGATAAGTGAAAACAGTAAATGGGGCTTGTAATGTCTTCAGGGTTTTATAGTATGGCCAAAAAGAGTATCTCAGGGATGCTAAAATAAATACAACGTGTTTATATTTAATTCTTTAATTGACATTCAAACACCTAGTATAGTT